CATAAATACATTATGGGAGGATTATGGTGTTTATCAACAGTGCTATTACATAAGTAAACCCAAATCGATGGGGAAAGTATTAGCCTCAGCCTCCCCAGGCATTTGGCTTCTATTTACCACTTACTTCCTCAATTTATCTTCTGCTGAGAAAATAGATTCTAATTTTTTTGCAAATGTTTTCTTCAATGCATTTCTAATGCTGTTATACTGGAAAATTAACTCTGACGTGTTTTATTATTTAATATATACAGAGCTGTAAACTATGTATTTTGAGCTTTGCCTTTCCCCTTTAATAACCCAGTTCAGTCTAAATAATAATGGCGGCAGCCCAATCCTAAAGTAGGAAGTAAATCCTATTCAATTTTCTGGGACTTATGGGGCTGATGTGCAATCAGAGACAGTTGTCCCATCGAACTCTGTTCAACTTGTACATACAGCTTGATATTAAAACTGCAAGCAACTCCATGGATTTCAGTAGAATTTACTTCCAAAGGAGTTTAGGGTATCTGGGACTGAATGGAACTTTTAGACATTTTTAGCTTTCTATGAGCCAGTTTGGTGTAGTGGTTAAGTGCGCAGACTCTAATCTGAGAGAACTGGGTTTGATTCCCCACTCCTCCATTTGCACCTGGCTGGATGACCTTGGGCAAGCCGTAGTTCTGATAAGAGCTGTTCTTGAGAAAGAGCAGTTTCTGTCAGAGCTCTTTCAGCCCCACCTACCTCACAGGGTGTCTGTTGTGGGGAGGGGAAGAAAGGAGTTGTAAGCCGCTCTGAGACACCTTTGGGTAGTGAAGGGCGGGGTATAAATCCAATCTCTTCTTCTTCTTCTTCTTCTATGAGGGGTGCACAAAGGCAAGGCCAAAAATAGTTGGGGTGGGGAATGGAATCTAAGCAGTGTCCCCTTCTCATGGTGATGAAAAAACAATACACTAAATGATCCAAGATATCCTACTTTTTAATGACATCCTAAAATTTGCCTCCTGAGAAGGCTCATGGTAGACCAGGCCCTGTGTGTACATTTCATCCCATGGGCCACAGTTATCTTTAACCCACCTGTTCTTTGTTACTGGTTTGTGGAACTGGCAGTTGGAAGCTGCAGGGGAAAGAAATAATTGGAGGATGGCTTTTACCACTGGGTCTTATGTTCAGATTGGCAGCATATTTTAGCGTGAGAAATGAAAGATACCATTTTGAAGTCTTCTGGGTTGCTTTGAATAATTCAGGTACAGTGTCTGGAACCCACAAAGGTCAATTAGACCTTCAAATGTGATTTAAAGGGGTCAAGTATTGTTCTCCCTAAAATTTCCTAAGCAACAAAATAATTCAGCCTATGGACTTCAAAAGGACTTTCACTCAATTACTTGGAAGAAAGCCAATTAATGTAGCAAACGACTCTTGATTTGGTGTTTGGGGGACTGACAGTGTGCAACCCCAAAATCTATATCTTTATATCCCAACTGCATTTGTCTTTTGAACAGAAGTATCTATGGGGCTGCATTCCCATCCATCCGTCTTCAAGGGCTGTGTCTTGGGTCCTAGAATGACACCTACAATCTGTATACATTTCTTAAAGGTGTTACTATCACCTGAGCATATGGTGGACACAGCAGACAATCTGACTCATGAAACAGCCAGTTCTACCACTAGGCCCTGCTGTATGTTGATGCTAGTATGACAGATGTTGATTCTTTGTTGGTGCCCAGGTGCCACCATACTCACTTTGTTCTTTGTTATGATTTGCATAGGTGAGAGTTGTGCTGGTGATAAAAGCCCCCCTGGGCAAGCTTCCTCTAAGAGAGCCCGCACGGCTTATACAAGTGCCCAGCTGGTAGAACTGGAAAAGGAATTTCACTTCAATAGATACCTTTGCAGGCCAAGAAGGGTAGAGATGGCTAATTTGCTAAATCTCACTGAAAGACAGATCAAAATATGGTTTCAAAACCGCAGGATGAAATACAAAAAGGATCAGAAGGGGAAAGGTATGATGACCTCTTCTGGAGGACAGTCCCCCAGCAGAAGTCCTGTCCCACCGGCCGCTGGAGGATACCTGAACTCTATGCATTCATTAGTAAACAGTGTTCCCTACGAGCCCCAGTCACCTCCATCCTTCAGCAAGCCTCATCAGAATGCCTATGGCATCCCTACGTCATATCCGGCTCCTCTCAATAGCTGCCCACCTGCTCAAAAGAGATACACCGGAACTGCAGCAGTGACTCCTGAATATGACCCTCATCCTCTTCAAGGCAATGGTTATGGCAATCCACATATACAGGGAAGCCCCGTCTATGTTGGGGGCAATTATGTGGATACCATGGCAAATTCTGGGCCTTCCATTTTTGGTCTGACTCACCTCACTCACCCTTCCTCCACCAATATGGACTACAGTGGACCAATGGGCAACAATCATCACCATGGACCTTGCGAGCCACACCCAACCTACACAGATCTTACTTCTCACCATCCTTCTCAGGGAAGAATTCAGGAAGCTCCCAAACTTACCCATCTGTAATATATCATCATCAGTTACTACGTGAATCCCTCTACCGTCTTTTTTTTTAAAAAAGAAAAGAAAACACTTTAGGCCCCTCCCCCTCTATTTTACTTTGTTTTGTTTTCTTTCGGTAAAAAGCGTTTTCTAGTTTATGTGACGTAGCAATATTTGTTGCTTGAATTGCTCTCTAGTTTCAATAGTGAATATTTATCTCCTTGAACTCTTGCCTCGTGTCCTCGCTTTGAGAGTATGCGGAGGCTTTGTACTTTCAAGTCAACTCTTTTATCAAAACAGGGTATATGAACAAATTTTTTCTATCCAGATGGTTCTTAAATGTGAATTTGTTCGTACAAAATTGATCCCAACCGGGGAAGCATTTTTTATTTTAATTGCACTTCTTTTAAATAGCGAGAGAGAAATCAAAGGCGCTTGAACAGGGGCTCCCTGGGTGAAAATATTAATACGTGTACGTCTTTCAACGTGTGTATGCTGGTGAACATTCAGATTTATTTATATTTTTTGCAAACTTTGAATAATCTAAGTGTTTAAATTTTTTTATTTATCCCCATCTGTTCATATTTATATATATAAAGATATTAAAAAAAAACCTGTACCCTGAATATTCAGGAGATATTTACCAGACTGTATGTTAGATAGCATACATAGGTTATATCGTTTGAAAAGGAAACGAGAAGTCCTTTATTTAAAAAGAAAATGCAATAAAATCTCGAAAGCAAACAACCGGCTGCCATAGGAACAAAGAAAAGGATGTCTGTAACATCAAACTAAACGGAAAATGTGTAAACATGAACAAGAAAAAAAAACCTAGATTTGTTTTGAAAGTTATACATTCCTTGCTGCTCACATTCTGGAAAAAAAATAAAGTTTTTATTCTGAATAATACAGAGTTCAGATACGATCCTTTGCCTTTAAAAGAGGAGGTTGCCTGAGAGGGAACATAAGGCATCAGCCGATCCTGTCAGTTCAGTTTCTGAATACATAAATCGCCCATATCCGCCCTTCAGCTCTTCCCAGTTGCTTTGGTTGGCCTCCCAAGCCTTAAATAAGCATTCGTCTGTTGCAAACAACAGGCCACTGGAAATATCCAAGAGGCGTCCGCCCTCTGTAACCACAGCTGAGGACATACAGATTTCTATTAAAAAAAAAAAATAGATACAGCCACAGGGAGTGCAGCGTTTCCTTCTTGTCCTTTTTTGGGCCCCGTGGCCTTGTCCAAGAGACGGTACGGTACAGTCCGTAAGTGGAGCTCAGGTGCTGTGGCTTTGCCGCGGGAGTCGCCTCTGGAGGCCTCAGCCTGAGCTCGGTCCCGCTTGCAGGCTGTTCGCTTCCTTCGCCATGTTGGGCTCTTTCTGCTGGGAAAGGCCAGCCGGTCCCTGGAAGCCGCTTCTTCTCGCCTCTGCGCTGAGGACCTTTGAAAAAGGCCGGGCGCCTTCTACACCCACGCTTTTCCTCCCGGGGGTCAAAGTGGACAATTCAGTAACTGTTTACAAAGATAGATCTTTTTTTTTTTTAAGGCGAAATTAAATAAAAGGCGGCAGAACAAAGGATAAGCACGGAGACCCGTGTATAGACTCGTATTTGGGATGGCACGAATTCAGGACACCTTTGCTAACAAGCAAAATACAGTCTGTCATCTCCATATTGAAGGAAGGGGTTCAGCAATAATAAACCGGGCCTGTGCGCAAGGCGAACTGGACCCTCCCCGGGGGTTAAAGAGAGACCGTGGTTGTTCCCCGTCAGCTGAGCTGCTTTCGTCTACTGTTTCAGAAACCGAGAAGATTTTTTTTAAAAAAAAAAACAACAACTGATTTTGCACATTTTGCTGATATAATTCGCAGCCCATTTCCCCACCCACCCTTCTTTCGAGACTGGGTGGGGGAGGGGAGATAAGAGAACCTCTCTCCTTCGAGGCAGAGGTTCGGGGGTGGTTTTTCCCCCATTTGTTTTTAAGAAAATAGCTACTTTGTTAATAGCTTTGGCTGTATCTCTAGAAAATTTTTCCCAGAAGGACCCCCAGGCTCCGATCTGCGTTAAGAAAACCTTCCAACAAAGATTATTTTTTTTAGGGATTGAGGATAAGATTGGTTGGTTCGTTTCCCACAAATCGAAAAGAGATCTGATGTTTTTAAGATCTGAAGTTTATTTCTTAATATCACTTGATTTTGGAATTCCGGGAACCCAGGATGTTCTATACTACTTTGGTAGATGTTTTATTTTTTTTTATTTTTTTGTCTCAAGAAAAATGTCGCCATATTGATTTCCCTTTTTGAAATATGATTTGCCCTCTTTTACCTCAATCTAAGAATCATCCTGGTTTCACATTCCAGTAATATCCCCCCCCCCAATAACTGAAACAGAATTGTAATGTTCGAATACACATTTTCCGGCATTCTTTGGCATTCTATACATACCTTCTTGCTTCCTTCGAGGAAGCTCCGTTTATATCTAGCGCTGCGCTCTGCCAAACGAACACGAGCTGCCCAAAAGCTTTTAAAAAGTAATCATATTTAAAAGAGGCTTATGATGGAAAAATCAATGTGAAGCTCCGGTTTGTCGCTTTTGGAGGAAACTGAAGCGAGGGCGGATGGTGGCGGATCTTTCCCTCGTCAAAACGAATGCCAAAGAGGATGCCTTCTAGCAGGCATCCGTGGCGACTAACCGGCTGGCCTGGGCGCGGAAAACCCACCTTCCAAAGAGGACCTACCTACAAGGAAAAGGCAGCGGCGTCCCCATTTCTGTCTCCTTTCAAAGGCACGTCTTCAGCCTTTTTCCTTCCCTCCAGCAAATATTTCATCCGCCTATTTTTTTTTAACAGCAAAAGATTTCTCCACGCAGCCCGGCAGGCAGGTATACTGTTGTTTGTGTCTCAGAATGTATTTTTGCATGATTTTTTTTGTTGTTTGGTTTGGTTTGGTTGACCACCCCCAATAGAAAAAAAATTCTTTGTCCCAGGTGTTTTTTCTATTAGACAGCCCACCACAAAATGCTCGGAATAACCCTCCCACACGGATTTGACTCACAAAGGCTTTCTGAACTGAACCCAAGGAACCCCCCCCTTTTGGGTTACCTCCCCCGCCCCCTAGTCCATTTCACTTTCAACCCTCATATTCTAGGCAGGGAGAGAGGTGGAAAAAAGGAAGGGAGAAAAATCTAGGATGGTCGCTGTTTTAGGGCCATCCAAGAGAGCTGAGGTCCCCATCCTCAATATTAAAACCCCTTTTGGGGAGGAGGAAAAGAAGAAACAGCCCTTGTTTACTTGCGTTTCTTGCTCTTTCTCCACTTCTTTTCTCAGCCACATTTGAGGCAGGAAAGAGCAAGAAGCCTGAAATGTGTTCTTAAGGGCCAGAAGCTGTCAAAGCGTTTGGCCGGGAAGATTGATCGCGCGCAGCCTTTAGCGGAGCTTTGTTTGGAGTAAAAGCAAGAAAATTAAAAAAAACCCCTAACATCTCCAACAGCATGTATATTTGTAAGGCATCCTTCCTTCCTCCCCTCCCCCCCCCCCCAGCTCTCAAAGAAGAATTAAATAACCACCACCGCCACCTCTTCTACATTTTAGGTTACAAATATTACATGATCCCAGCCCCTCCCCCACCTGTGATCCCTATAAGGGGGTGTTATTTGCTTAAAACTAAAATGATGGCTGCTTTTTTTTTTTTTTTGGTCAGTTTCACTTAAGCTAGTGGTATAATGACCAGTTTATTATTTTAACCACTTGCCAGCCATTCTCACGATTCATCTCGGCAGTCTAAATAGACTAAAAGGTAACGGATGCACTTTTGGCTTCATTGGAATACATAAATATAAAAATAGAGCGACCCGGTTTCCTTTCTCTCTTCCCCCCCCCCTTTCAGAATGCTCTCTCCCCAAATAACAGGACTCTTGGCCTCTGCCTTGGAGAAGAGGAAATCTGTCTGGTTTCCATCTCCTTCTTATGATTCTTTTCCTCGCCTCCAAGTCTCTCCGCCTTCCTCTCCTTACCTTTTTCTTTGGCGGCTATTGTAAAGGTATTCTTCCCCAAACCATCGGCAGGTTAAACCAGCAAATGGGAGGGGGGGGTGTCGTGTGCCCCTAACAAGGTGGGTGGAACAAAAGGGGTTCGTCGGCTTTCAGCCGTTTACAGCACTGACTTCTGAAATATTTCATTGGTATCGAAAATACCCTGACCAGCTTTTCTGAGGCTACTTAAACACAATGTGTCAGCAGATTCCAGTGATATAGTTAATGCTTTAGATGTTGTTTTGTGATCTCCTTCTTCCCCTTTCCTGGAACCCCTATTTACAGTCCCCGGGTGGAGTGGAAACATCTCTTTTGATCGTCCACCACTGTCGAGCCGACTGCCGGGGAAAGTCGCGAGCCACCCGGCTGCGTTCTGTTGCCCTTCCCATAGGAGCCAAAAGGGCTGTGAAAGAAATTCCTTCGACACAATAGATGGATTCGGGGACCGGCGGTCAATTGTTTTCCGTACTGTACACCCAGTTGGGGGGGAGGATGGCGTACAGATCCCAGGTTGGGAGCAAGTAAAAGGGGGGGTGGGGGAAGAACCCCACCTCCATGTTTTTAAGGAAGTGGTTATTCCTGAAAGGGGGGGGGGGGTTAAAACCGAACCTAAGGAAGTGTTTGGCGTCGCTGACCGGGTGCAACTTCCAGTGTGCCTGAGATGTGGGGGCCGGTAGTGACAAAACTTTGAAGATTAATGGATTACTTTGTTAATGACTCCAGGCGTCGGATTGAGGCGCTTAAATGATTTGTGAGGTGCAAAGCGCTTGCCTGACAGTCCCAAACAATGAGAGAGGAGCGTGCGGGAAGAGAAGGGGCAGGAAGGAGCCCACCGGATGGAGGAGCCCAGCACTTCTCCGCCAGCGGCAGCAGCAGCAGCAGCAGCACACAACTACCACCAGGCAACCACAAACACACACTCGCACCCAGATATCCGTCCAGATTAGGAGGCGAAAGGGGAGAGAGAGAGAGAGAGAGAGAGAACTGGGCAAATAGCCGCCTCCCCCCCTTTTTACAAAGTGTAAATAATGGCTTTCTGGCCCCCAATGAGGCGTTCCTTCTCGACTTTTTTGGATCAATCAAACAGACAGTGGCTTCTTTTGATTAAAGCCCAAATTGTCATTGGGCAGAGGCAATCATGTGACAGCCAATTCGGTCCAATTTCAACCTTGTCTCCATGAATTCAATAGTTTAATAGTAGCACGGTCCCCATACGGCTGTAATCAGTGAATTAGAAAAAAAAAACCCCACCAGCCATTTTCTATGATATTTTTTCCCCTTTTCTCTCTCTCTCTCTCCCTCTTCCTTTCTCTCCCTCTCTCGTCCCCCCCCCCTTCCTGGGCCTTGCTCCCCCCTCCCCCTCCCAGAAGCGCTAAATAAGAGGGAACTTTTTCTCCAAGGGGGCTGCGAGTTGAAGGCCATGAATTTCGAATTTGAGCGAGAGATTGGTTTTATCAATAGCCAGCCATCGCTCGCTGAGTGCCTGACATCTTTTCCCCCTGTCGGTGATACATTTCAAAGTTCATCAATCAAGAACTCGACGCTTTCACACTCGACACTGATTCCTCCTCCTTTTGAGCAGACCATCCCCAGTCTGAACCCAGGCAACCACCCTCGCCACAGCAGCAGCGGCCGCCCCAAGCACAGCCCCAATGGCAGCAGCGGCAGCCCCGTGCCATCCGGCGCCCTCCAGCCTCCGGAGTACCCCTGGATGAAGGAGAAAAAAGCCTCCAAGAAATCCGCCCTGCCGCCGCCGTCTTCGGCCTCCGCCACGGGACCAGCTTGCCTGAGCCACAAAGGTCAGTTGAAAGACTTTGCCGCACATTCCGCCTTCTGCGGGGCTCCCTATTCCCCCCCCCCCCAGCCGCCCCGGTCCTTGCCTTCCTAACTTAAGCGATTCGAACAGGGTTTCTGGAGGAAGAGCCAGAGAGCAAACTGGTGGGATCCACAGCCAGAGAAATCAGAATAGCCCCCCCAACCCGCCCCCCAGCAAAGTTTCTTCCCCCTAACTTGTTTAGCGTTGGATGATTTATTTGAGTTGGAGGTGACCTCCTCTTGTCTCCCTGTCCTAGAGTTGGGATATTTGACAGTAATGAAGAGTGATAGATTGCTCTTGCTCAGCTAAGCAGCTGATGCATTAATTATAAATTGTTGTATGGCTAATATCAAAGTTTGCTCGGGGATGGCTCTAGGTTGGGAGATGGAGGCAAAGCGTTGCCTTGAGCTCAGGAGAAAGGGGGTCCAAGGGACCCGGTGCACCAGAGTGCAAAACAATGGATTTACTGCATTCAAGGGCGGCCATTTTGTTGCAGTTGAGATTTTTATGCTTTGCAGAGAAAGCCAGAGGGTTTTGAGTCGTGTCCCCCCCCCCTTCTCTCCTACCACCCCTTCCTCAACATGTCTGGAGATTTAAAATCTCCAACTATCAGATTTCTCTCTTGGGTGTCTGCATGATTGTCGTTGTTATTATTGGGGTTTTTTTTGTTTTTTTTAAACACAGAATCGCTTGAAATCCCCGATAATGGTAACGGTGGTTCTAGGAGGCTGAGGACTGCTTACACTAACACGCAGCTTTTGGAGCTGGAAAAGGAATTTCATTTCAACAAGTACCTCTGCAGACCTAGGAGGGTGGAGATAGCCGCCCTCCTGGATCTGACGGAGAGGCAAGTCAAAGTCTGGTTTCAAAACCGACGGATGAAGCACAAGAGACAGACCCAATGCAAGGAGAACCAGAACGTGGACGGGAAATTCAAAGGCTTAGAGGACTCGGAGAAAGCCGAAGAAGACGAGGAGGAGGAGGAGGAGGAAGAGGAGGAGGAGGAGAAATCCCTCTTCGAGCAAGCCCTCAACAATGTCTCCGGCGCCCTTCTGGAAAGGGAAGGCTACACTTTTCAACAGAACGCCCTGGCACAGCAGCAGGTTCCGTCTGTCCACAATGGAGACTCCCAAAGTTTCCCAGTTTCGCCTTTAACCAGCAATGAGAAAAATCTGAAACATTTTCAGCACCAGTCACCCACTGTTCCCAACTGCCTGTCAACAATGGCCCAGAACTGTGCGGCCGGCCTGAACAATGACAGCCCGGAGGCCCTGGACGTCCCTTCTTTGCAGGACTTCAGCGTTTTCTCCGCGGATTCCTGCCTACAGCTCTCGGATGCCGTCTCCCCCAGCCTGCCAGGATCCCTCGACAGTCCTGTAGATATTTCAGCTGACAGCTTTGACTTTTTTACAGATACACTCACCACAATTGACTTGCAGCATCTGAATTACTGAGAATGGACAGACCAGCGCTCGCCAAGGGTTATGCTATCTTTCTTTCCTTTCCCTTTCTCTCTCTCTCTCTCTCTCTCTCTTTTTGGAGGGGGGAGGGAAAAAGAGGGAGGGAAAAGATGGTTCGATTTAATATCTTTCCCTTTCCTGGTCAGTATTTTCTTTTTCATTCCTTCCCTTTTTGATATATAATGTGTTGGAGAGCCATTTTTTTGCCGTTTTTCTATGCCTTCCTCTCTTTTTTTTGGTTTTTGTTTAGTTGTGTTCAGTATAACCTAGCCACATTCTAGGTCCTCCTGTGAAAGCAATATATAAGGCCTGCAAGAAAGTGATCGTATTGAACTCTCTCTTCACTTTCTTTTTATTTTTGTATGACATTAGGATGCGTTGTCATAAGTATTTTTGGTAGAATAAATTCTTGTTTGCTACAAGCACTTCTCTCCTCTCTCTCTCTTTATGCACAAGGGATTTTCTCCCCCTCCCAGTAGTCTAAATTCCACAATAAAACCAAACAATTCGGTCACAAGCTCTGTCCTTTTTCGTTAGCAATATATTTATTCTGGGGTCAGCACCTGCAAATATTTTATTTCCAAAGTTCTCAGCGATCAAACAGAAAAACAAAAATGCCCCCAAAGGCCCACCCCCTCAACCTTACACATTAGAATCTACGATGCAGGGACAAGTTAAGATGTTTATAGCCTGTAACCTATGCGCTTGTGCATTCGTGTGGATTCTGTGTTTTTACTAATGTTTGGCGAGAAGCCGTCTAGTCTGCCTTGCAAGTTTCAGGCGCTTGCATCTACAGGCTACGCCAAACAGTCAACAATTTAATGCGCACATGTCTTTTCCCATTATTGAAAGCTTCTATCTATTCCTTTTGCGAACCGTGTCTCTGGAGGGAGGGAAGGTGCCAGGAGGGAACCAGCATTTAAATGCCCACAAAGATTTCCCAGATGTCCAAAGATCCAGAAAAAAGAAACCTAAGAGAGAGGAAATCAGAAAAGGGTATTATTATTATTATCCGTAACAATGCACGAAAATATATATATACAGATTTCAATCACCAGTTTCTCGCAAAAGGGTTAGAGAACGAAAGCTGGTGGTTGTAGGAAAGGGGACTTAAGGACGGAGAAGGGAGAAAGTAGGCTAGCAAGTGCACCTTTCAGGAGACCACGGCAAGGGAGTCCCCTGAAGGAACCCAACTGAAGCAACAGCCGAGAGTTCGCGGCCACTAACTGGGGCTCTGTAGTGTGTGTTGTGTATGTGCAGGTTCTGGCACCCGCTTTCAGACGACCAGCAGGGTCCACATGAGGTTTGCTTTGTGCGCCTCAACCCCTCTGTGGACTGCGGGCGCCAGCAGGCAACATTTCCCTCGCGCCTGTCGGTCTGCCGGCGTGTCTCGATAGGACGAGCGGGCGAGGAAGGGGAGAGCCTCGGCCAGGGCTTTGCCCGCACCCGTCTCCCTCCTTCCAGCGCGTTTATTTTGATCGTGGCTGGCTTCCCTGTTTTGCGCCCCATCTAAGTGGGGCGGCGCGGAGCTGCGTGGGTTGGATGCATGGGCTGCGTGGGCTGGAAGGATTGGATGCAATTCTCCCTAAACCCATAAATCAAACGCTTTCTGTGAATGAGAATGTCATCAAAGAGATCAATTGCAGGAACACATGCACAAATAAAAACCCTCTTACGTATTTGCTGGGGCTGGGGATCCCCGTCTAAAACCATTAACTAGAAGGCGGTTAGTCATAATTCATTTTTATTGCTCTGTTAAAACAACAGCTTGGCTAGGTTTCAGGTGCGGCAGGGAATCCCGGGCCTGTTCTCTCCCCCGCCAGCCCGCCCCCCCTCCCCTCGAGGCTTTGCCTGCTTTCAAGCTGGATGCAGAGTTGCACCGAGGAGAGGGCATTTTTTTTTTTTTAGCACTTTTTCGTTTCCAGAGTGGGCTGCTTGTATTCGAAGAACGAGATACCAACCCTTCACCCCGCACCCTTCCCCAGTCGATTTCCCCTCGATATGGAAACAAGCGGAAGAATTTTCTTGTCTTTCAACAGCAAAAATTCTAACAATTTTTTGGGATTTCCCTTACGTTCTGTGACGGGGTAGGGGGTTACATCAGTGGTTTCTCCAGGTTCAGAAAAGAAACCGAGATGAACCGATACAACAAAGGCGGCTAGAGGGTGGAGGGTGGGGGAGGGGGGAAACGAGCAGCAGGCCTGTTTTGGAAACGCCAGGCAGGGCGGGAGGTTTTCGGAGTCTGTGCGGGTGGACGAAAACTTTGGGTGGCTGCAAATCAGAGGCAACATTTCGATCTCTGCCCCCCCCCCGTCCTTGCCCCCCACCCAATTCTAGAAATTCTTCGTATTCTAGAAAGCGGAGAGACTGTGTTGGCCTCAGAATGCGAAGCATTGGGCAAGAGGCAATATAACAAAAGGGGGGCCATGTAACAAAAGGGGCAGAACAATGGCGGAGAAACGGAGGAAAACATTTAAGAAAGGAGCGAAGGCAATCCTGGAAGAGTGGATTTTTGCAAGAAAGGGAGGGATGGATGATCATCTAGACCGACGTTCATTTAACTTTTTTCTGGTTGATAAACCCAAGGGATATCTCTTAACTATATTTATATGATATTTTCGTACCCAACACCAACCATTCGTCTGGAATAGTGCTAGAGAAACATTAAGCCTCTCTATATACGTGGGTTTTAGCAGTATAACCAGTACTTTAGCATCTTGTACTCAAGCTGTTGGTTTTGCGGTGAATATCTATGGCATTTAGGCCCAAATAGTCGTGCATGGATATCAACATGGACTTGGTCAGTGGTAACATATTTCTTATGACTCCCCCTTACTCCTACCAAAACGTAGAAATATAAGGAACAGGCAGCTAAGAGGGAATGTACAGGACCCAGTCCAAGCTAACTTTCTTTCCAAGTCCCATTGGGTTAGATGAATTCTATAGGGGATTCAGTGGGGATTTTTACCCAATTAGCGCTCATAGAATTGCAGTTTTAATGCTTAACTGACTGGATTGTGGCTGTTGACGCTTTGATAGTAAAAGAGGGCCTTGGAAGTTGAAAGCAACTCAGTAGGCAGCCTGATCCGAATTGGTGGCATTTTAGGAATTAATGAAACTAAAAGTCTACTTTAAAGCATAATTGTACAGTATGGGCTTCGTTTATCGATCTACTGAGATCATGCAAAAAGAACAGGCATGGATGTAATCTTTCATGGAGGTAATAATGCCCGATAGGGGAAAGTGGAAATCAGCCTAAGTACACACGAAGTTCAGTCACCTTAAGACAAAGTTCACATTCCTTATTCTTGTCTTTTCTGTTTTATGCCCAGTACTGTGCAGTTTATCTTCTCTGCCAGCCTCGTTTTCCTATACAGATTTAAGCACCTGTCCAATTGCCAAGTTATCTGCGGGCTGCCCTGTAAGCCAGATCCTGATGCTCCGTTTCTATGGCCAGTGAGATGCGGTGAGACCCTCTGGGGCGGGCAAGGGATGAGAACCGGGGTTTATATCCTGGGACAAAAGATCCTGGAGGAGTCACGAGAAACGAGAGGAAGCGGCTTCCACCACCCGCCGTGGATCTCACTCACTCCCCCTCCCCCCACCCCGTGGCTGGGAACGAGAGCAGCACCCCATTGACCGATCAGCGCGCCGTGGACCCCTCGCCCCACCGCTCAGGCTCCGCCCCCTAGCCACTGGGCATGGCGTCCAGTGCTGGTGGTTGGAAGAACACCCCCCTAGATCTCCTGTTTTTAAACAGTGTGGATCCGTGTGGGGGAGAGGGAGGGGTGGTGGGGAAGAGGCCGCTGAAACAAGCAAAGGTTGCAAGGGAGGGAGGGAGGAGGAGAGACGGCGAAGGGGAGGGAGAGGCCAGCGAGTCTGCACAGGCGCTCTGCGGGCTTCGCTGAGGGGCTGGAGCGAACCTCGGCCAGCTTCCTTCGCAACCTTTGTAAGCGCTGCCTCTCCCGGCTGCCTCGGCTCTGGCGGAGAGTCCGGTGCCCAGGCGCCAGGCAGAAGCGCCTCTCCGGACCCCGGGCGAGGCTTCTGGAGCGAGGCCCCCCTCCGGCGTCTCTCGAAGCCCCCTCTCGCCACTCCAGGGCATTCC